TCACACCCTCAAGAACATCTTGAAAGGATCCTCAGCGCCTCCGGACATCTTTGCCAAGGAGCCCTACAATGAGATGCTCAAGGGGGTTGATGACGCACTTGATGCTGTAAACCACAAGTTGAAGAGGAAGGACGAAGAAGTCCAAGAGGCGAAAATTCGTGACGATGACCTAGCTGCCTTCTTGCCAGAGGGGGTGGAGCAATGCCCTGAGGACCTTGAGCAAGCCTTTCAGGCTGAAATTCAAGAGGCAGCAGAGCTGGTTGACCGATTTGTGAAGTGGATCCCTGAATGTGAGAGCAAAGCCGAGCTTACACAGGCACTTGCAGACACAGCTGTTGCCAAGAAGCAGCCTGAGGGCACAACAGCACTCATAGTGCTGGACACGAAGACCTGTGGAGAATCGTCTTCACAACCGCACTTGAGGCTTCCTCAATTTCGAGCTCCAGGTCTCAGGAACGCAGTGCAATCATTCTGCACAGCTCGAAACAAAGAGCAGTTTGATGAAGATGAGATGTGTGCAGTTCTTGATGGCTCCCGAATGATTTCAACCTCAATTATGGCATGCTTTGTCCGCGATGATGGGTGCCACTTCGAAGGGAAGACCAGGACAGAATTCGTGATACATTACGATGAAAAAAGCATGCGAGCACGAAAGATGGTGAGCCGTGGGCTTGTGCAGGTGCACGAAGGGTTGCACGTGTTCAGCAATGGAGCATTGTCATTGCCAGAGGCACGTACAAGACTCTACGGGGGCTCCAATTATTCGACATCCATTGGACCAGTCATCATGGACAGCTTTGAAAATCTATGGTTGGTATCACCTGAAAAGAAAAAAGGAATATGAGGCGGGAAAAGCGAAAGTGCTCGCTGGCGGCGGCCTTGCAGGTGATCCGCCAAAAAAACCGGAATTGTCCGGTGAGCCGATGTCATTTCACACCATGCCTTTGAAATTCTACAAGGAGCTCATTCACTCCTTCTGTGCTGGAGTGGTCTTCTTCCTTTCCGATACTGACGGGGTTGGAGCCCTGGCTGCCATTCTTGCAAAAGTTCCCTGTGTGGCTTTGGTGTACAGCGCCTCGCATGGAGCTGCTTTGCGGCTGAAGCTGATGGAGCATGTGTTCAAGGAGTTCCAAACACAAAGCTCGCCACTTCACCGGGTGGCCCTGACACTTGAATCCAACAAGGGTTTTCCGTCTCAAGAGTTCAATGTGTTATCGCGGTGCTGTGCAAGCGCCAGTGTTTTGAACAATTAATTGTGAGTATTGGTACTTATAACTGGTAGGCAGGAATGGGATATTATAACTGGTATAACGGTATAATTTGAATAAAGTTACTTATAACTTGAAAAACTTTCAGGCTTTTAATTTGTGTTTGTTGTGCTTGTCGGCTAATTTACAAGAACAAAACAATATTTTTATATATATATATATGCATATTTATTGTATGTATGTTTGCAGACAAATGACAGAACGCTTGTTGTGTATGAGTGCAATATATATATATATACCCAGCGTGGCGCCCATGCATTGAAACAGCAATAAAACATTGTTAGTTCCAAACTTTTCCACAAACACGACAGGTTCGGTAACTTAAATAAGTTTGGCCATATTTAATTCAAGATCTACAAGTAGCACGAGTAACAGTAATGTGCTATGTCAAACTGAGGACCAGCCTGATGAGCAAGATCAGCAAGATTGGGAAGACGGCAGAGACAACCCCTGAGACTAAGGAGAAGGACAAGACGACTGGTCGAGGGGGGAGGGGCCAGGGGCGTGGTCGTGGTGGCCGAGGAGGAAATAAGAGGAAGACAGCTGATGGTGTTCCTACGGGCGGCACTGAGGGTGAAGCAGCTCCCAAGAAGAATAAGGCAGAGAGCAAGGCGGATGTCATCAAGGCATTGGTGGGCATGCAGGACGAAGGCGAGGATGCAGCCATGGAAGATGAGGACTTGCAGGAAGGGTGAGTGATTTTGCGCTTTTGAGCTAATGTCACGAGCCTGGAGTCCCAGTTGAACCCTAATTTCAAAGTATGATGATGAATGATATGTCCACCATTTAATTCACTATATGTTATACTGTGTAGTTGACTGGGCTGGCCAGGTCGTTTGATCCAATCCAAGTTGAAGCCTGATCAAGCTTCCAACTTTGCGAAGCTGGAAAAATGTGCTGAGGAAGCGCTTGCACAGCACCGCTTAACTGAATAAAGTCTTGAAGTGCTGAAGAAGCGCTTGCACAGCACCACTTACATTGGTAAAGCCTTGAGGTGCTGAAGAAGCGCCCCGCACAGCATCGTTTCTCAAAACACGTTTGTTGATTTTCGGAAAGCAAGCAAGCGCTTGTGCAGCACCTGGGATCAAGAAAATGGTAAGGCAAAATGCCTAAACGCAAGCGATCCCAACCTTTGACTTTTGGTTCCGCATGTTCGGGTTTGTGCGCGGAGCTTTTTGCGGCCGAGTATCTCGGGGTGGAAGCGACAGCAATCTTTGCCTGCGACAATGACAAGCATGTCACCACGCTTAGCAAACAGCTGTGGCAGCACAAGTTCTACTACAACGACGTCTTTGAGGACGAGTTCGTGCAGAATGCCCCTTGTGTGGACTTCTTTTTGGGAGGCTTCCCATGTGGACCATTTAGCTTGCAAGGCCTTGGAAAAGGGGTCAACGATGAAGCCCAAGGTACGGTTGTGTACCGGCTCCTGATGTACATAGCCCGGAAGCAACCCACAACATTTCTGCTGAAGAATGTGAAAGGGCTACTGACAGCGCACCCCAATGTGCTGCTTGAGGTCATGACATTCTTGCGGGGCTTGAAAGTCAAAGGAAGCAAGAAGCCGCTTTACACGGTGGTATGGGCATGTCTGAACTCCCGCGATTTTGGGCTACCCCAGAACAGAGAAAGGATCTGTGTGGTGGGTCTGAAGAACTCACGCAAGATTGCAGACTTCTCTTGGCCAATCAGCGTCCCTTGTGCTGAAGTCTTATTTGTTTGTACTTTATTTATTATAACGGGATGAAACAGGTCTATTTGAGCCGGACGCCTGTTAGCATGAGGTGAAAATGCGATCCTTGTCCTGCTTTCTCGACATGGATGATGTGGGGAACATGGTATCAAACATGAAGAAGCTCAACAAGACGGAGCTTGAAAACATCCGGAAGAGCTACCAAAAGATCAAGTCTGAGGGAGGCAGCCCTGCCAAACAACACTACGTTTTGAATGTAGGGGGCACATCGCCGCAGTATAACCTCAACTACTCCCCGTGCCTTACACGGACCCGGTGCGGATCGAAGGGCTATTGGCTCTCCTGGCTCAACCGCTCAATGAAGACACATGAAATGTGGGCTTTGCAAGGCCTACCCAAGAAGTCTTTTCCCAAGGAGGTCGTCAGTGAGAGCCAGCTTGGAAAGATCATTGGAAATTCAATTCCAATTACAATGTTGGCAGCAGTGATGCGCAATATGTTTGAGGCGTGTCAGTTCCGCTAGTCAGTGCTGAAAGCGCTTTGGCTTGGGGGTGAAAAATGGTGGTGTGAGACTGTGAGACCTCAGTGTGCTGTTTGTCGCCGCTGCTCAAATTCATTTGCCAGGTTCAACCTCGGCCTCATTCATCCAGGCATGTCGGGGCCTCAAACTGGAGCAGGGTCACCGTACCCGGCGTAGCTTTTTGTCAACCTTGGCCATGGTGACAAAAACTTGCTCTGGCAACAGGTCCACATAGGTTTGGTAGACCTTTCGGGATTCGATTTGAGCCCACACCATTCCAAACTGCTCTGATACCCCAGCACCTGCAAAAGTAGAGATTGAATGCCGCCGGCCAGAGTGGCTGCGGATGCCTTGCCCATTGAGTAAGTCAGGGTATTTGTCCTGAAACTTCTTGACAAAGCCAGCACGATGTTTGCGAATATGCCGAGCTACTATGTCCTTTGTGATGGGTTTGCCCTTTCCTCGTCCCTGTGCAGGAAATAAATAGCCCGTTTTGGGCCACTTCCACCATCCTTCCTTCTTCCATTCTGCAATAGTGGCCACTGTTGATGGAAGTATAGGCTTCCACAAGGCCTTGTGCTTTTTGAATGTTTCCAACCACACTCGCTTCCTGCGGAGATCTAGGTGTTGAACTTTTAGTTGGCACACCTGTGATACTCGAACGCATAGTGCCTCGATCAAAGCAACAATGATGAAGTACTTCATTTCTGCGTGGGCCTTCAAATACTTAAGCCACTCTTTCCAAAGCTGCCCCTGCAGAGCATGAGCGCGACCCAACTTTTTCCCCATGTTTTCTGCTGCGCCGCTTTTTAGATTAGGTATACATATAGTAGGTCCAACAATGTGCTGAAGAAGCGCTTTCACAGCACCTTTTTTCCAAAAACATGTTGTTGATTTTGCATCAGTTATCTTGAGCTAAAATAGCCTTTATCAATGATGATCGTGCTGAGTAAGCCTGGTGCTGAGCAAGCGCCAAGAGTTTTGTGTTAAAGTGCTTTTCACCAAATGCATCACATATGTTAAAATCAGATCTTACCGGACTAAGCCCGAAGGCTGGTGCTGAACAAGCGCCATGTATTGCGTTAAAGCGCTTGCAAAAATGGACCCCGCCTCAAGGTGCCATCATGACGCCGGCGCCGGTGTTTTGGAAATGGCCCGGGCCGGGGCCTAATCCGGCAGCAACGCATCGGAAACCACAGTTGCATACCTGTAGTGTCATGCATGCACACATATTGCTCATGTGATTTTTCGCGTGCACGGTGCTCAAAAAGACAGGGGAAGCTAGCCGCGCAAGGGCGCGGCAGCAAAATGGGGAAACCAACAAACAATTAAGCAGGGTCAAAAAGATAGAGAACACAGCCAAGAAAGGTTCACACAACAGCCAACTCCAAGAGCAACCCCAAGAGCAACGTTGCCCAGCTCCAAAAGCAACCCCACTTGCACAATACACACTGAAACACGCACAATACACACAACACACAAGCTAGCAGCCAGAGCAAATCCCCGATTTGCCCGCTCCGCCATGGCTGATGATGAGGAGTGGCCCCAGGAGCTGACCTGGGGCGCCAACGACTATGGGCGCTACCGGTGGTGCCCGTGGCGCGGTCCTGGCTCGGATGGAGGCGGTGGCAATTCCAGGTCGAACCGCCAAAATGCGGCCAGAGAGAGGCGCCGCGCAAACCGCTTGCAAGAGCGAGAAGACGAGGACAATGAGCAAGACCGCTTTGCTGTTGCGCAAGAGCTCCAGCAAGAACGCTCAGCTCTTGCGCAAGCGAGAGAAGAGCTCCAGCAAGAACGCTCTGCTCTTGCACAAGCGAGACAACAGCTCCAGCAAGAAAGCTCTGGTCTTGCACAAGCGTCACAGGCGCTCCAGCAAGAACGCTCCGCTCGCGCACAAGTGACGCAGGCGTTCCAGGAAGAACGCTCAGCCCGCGCACAAGTGTCACAGCAGCTCCAGCAAGAACGCGCTGCTCGTGCAGAAGTGACACAGGAGCTCCAGCAGGAACACTTTGCTCTTGCGCGAGTGTCACAAGAGCTCCAGCAAGAACGCTCTGCTGGTGCACAGGCCCAGCAGCAGTTGAAGGTGAAGGAGGTCATAGTGAACAAGTTGCTGGAGCACCAGTCGAAGCTGGTGAGAGATGGTGAGGCTGGCGATTTGTTGTCAGTTGGGGTGCTGAACAAGCGCCCATTTTTTCTAGTATATATATATATAACACCTATACGCATATGTGTTTTGAAATGGCCAGCTGTGTGCTGAACAAGCGCCAATGATTTCATGGTGTTGAACAATAGCCCATATGTGTTTTGATCTACCTGGGCACTGGTGTGAGGCCACGGAGCAGAAGCTCAACCAGACCGAGGAGCATGCCCGGAAGCTTCAAAGGCAGCTGGACGAGACCATGAACAAGGTCACCGCCCATGAGGAGATGCAGCTGAAGATGCAGCTGAAGCTTGGCAAGGCTGAGGAACGGGCCCAGAAGCTTCAGAAGATGCTGGAAGAGAAAATGGACAAAAAGGTCTCGCCAACCTCCCCAGCTGATGACATTGTGCCAGAGGTGACGCCAAAGGAGGTGGCGACGGAGGTGGCGACGCAGGACACCTCTGAGAAAGTCGAGGAGAAGAAGGCGACAAAGAAAGCAAAGAAAGATGCAAAAGCGAAGAAAGAGAAGAAGGACCAGGACATGGCGTCCAAAGCGTCAAAAGAGAAGAAGGACAAGCAGGACATGGCGCCGAAAGAGAAGAAGGACAAGCAGAAGATGGCGCCAAAAGAGAAGAAGGACAAGTGCCAGGAGAAGATGGCGCCAAAAGAGAAGAAGGAGAAACGCAAGCAGGAGATGATGGCGCCAGACAACGAGAAGAATGAGGCAGTCAAGAAGATGACGAAGCAGGACCAGCCTCCGCACAGTGGAAGCCAGGGATCCAGCTCAGCAATGGCAATGGCTGACGATGATGATGATGATGATGGCCATGGCAGTAGTGGTGGGAAGGTACGCAGCAACAGCTAAGAGGCAATGTCCCCAGTCAACAGTCAACAGTATGGAAACAACACTGACCAGTCAACAGTATGGAAACAGGGCAAACTCAAAAGTGCATACCTGTTGATCAACACTTAGCAATTATCCAAGCTCAACATGTTCAGAGATTGGGGACCTTGGCTGTCAGCATTTTTTAGATCAGCACGCCCCGCGACAGTGCTGAAAAATATGCAGTTTCGCTTTGAGGGTTTGATCGGTGCTGAATAAGCGCCGCAGTTTGATCGGTCAGGATGTCCTTGTCGTCCACCCCTTCCTTGTCATTGCCCAGGTCTTTGGCAAACCTGGAGTCACGCGATGCTTGGCTGAGAGGTGCTGAGTAAGCGCCACTGTTTTTTCATGGTGTATGTTAAAGTTTCTCAGCGGCGTGATTTTTTTGCCAAATCTCGATTTTAAAGGCTTTTTTGTTCTATCGAGCCGCCTTTTGGGTCAAAAGGCGGCTCGCGCTCTCTATTTTAAGAAGGGGTCCATTTTTCCGTTTTCTCCAGGATTCCAGGAATAGAGGATTGATTTTTTCAATGCAGGATTGAATAGACTGATATTCATCATCAAAAAATGAACAGGATTGAGTACTCCCACCGCCAGATAGCTTAAACGCTTCACGGTGGACATGGATGTGGATGGTGCTGAACAAGCGCCAAAAATGTGGATGTGCTTGAAGCACATATTCCCTTTCCGGCCATGGGGGTGGTTTTATCAAGAGGTGGGGATTTCAGTGGATAGTGACACCAAATCCAACTCAGTGTAGTCACATATACCACCCATCTTTCAGGGGAGTTGCCACAAGTCATATGCAGCTTTATTTCAGGAGTTGTACATATCTTTGTGGTTGGTACGTTTTTTAGAATGGATGGTGCTGAAGAAGCGCCCATGTCCAGAAAGAGATGGTTGAACTACTTAGCGCCCCTTCCAACCATTCCAACCCTGTGAGGTTCCCGGCCGACCTGCTTCTGGATCTGAGGTTCGCCATTGCCCCACTCTGCCAGTTTGGCGCTTCTACAGCACCAATCATCTGGCGCTTGTGCAGCACCTTTTTAGGGGCGCTTCTTCAGCACCTTCCTGCTAAAATACGATTGTTTAAGTTGCCCTTTAACAGTGTCCAATGCATGTTTTATCTCATGTATCAAAGTGTGTTTGCTCAAAAACGCTCCAAAGTCGTTTGGCAAGCACTGTGTGGTTCCTGCCTGTGGATCGCAATAGCTGATTTCTCAGGACGTTTGATGACGTTTGTGTATTGTTTGTCTGCGCCTGTCAAATTGTTTGTAAGATTTCCTCTGAAAAACCACAAAAAACATACCAAGATTTCCAGACATTCTACTGTCAAAAGCCATGCCTTTTTAAAGTCAGGCTTCCATATGCCACCAACTTTCAAAAAAACAAGTTGAATCATCTCTCAACTTTTAATGAAAGCAAAATATCACCAAAGTGATCAAAAAGACTCCCACTGTTTGACACAAAACATTTGGCATTTATTTCTTTGAAAATTTATGGGATCAAAGTTATTTCTATGCCACAGGTTTTTAACCTTGAAGCCTTTGGGCTATCATATTCACAGAGCCAAAGAAAGGTACAAATTTTCAATTTTAGGGTCATCATAGGACATGGGTTTTCAGATCACCAGTCATCATGTTGACAGGGCCAAAAACCCAGGCAACAAAAGCACATACCAAAGCACAGCCCAGTCGTTCAGCCATTCCAAGACACACCTGGTGTCAGAGCCCTTGCAGCGAAGCTCAGGATACCTGAGGTTGCTCATCGAGAGATTTTTTGCTGCTTTCTTACAACCACCAAGTTATTGCAGCGCGCAACAAGTGGGAGCACGCATTAATCATATTCCAAAATGCTCAGAACCCTAGTTGAGGTTCTGTTGAGTCAGGCCTTTGATGGCCAACGGAAGTTTCTTCTGTTTGCACCACCCCTTCAAACAAGCGCTGGCATAGGATAAACGTTTGTCAATGTTCGAGCCAGGCCAGTAATGCTCTTTGATCAGGATGCGCAGAATCGATCCCAGCGCGTCTCGGCCGACTCCCACATGCCAAATATGGAGGAGATCTGCTCCTATCATTTTTTCGTTGAACCCTGCCTTATATCATGATCACTGAGGCTCAGGAAAAGCCTAATATATATAGGGTATGACCATATAAACATACTAAGCACCAAAAAAACTCTCAAGGGGATTGGATAGACCAGTTGCTAGGTCGGCGAACCGTCCGTGCACGCGACAAAGCATTCCGCCAGGGCGCGTCCGGGCTCAAGTTCACGTAGCACATATTTGCATCTGCTGTTCCTTTTGTAGCGCCACATTTCCAGCAGATCTGACAGGGTTTGTCAACAGCATTGCACCAGAAACAAGCAACCAGCTAGCTTCAACCACTACATATATATACCACTACTAGTCAAACAATTCACAGGTATATATATATATATATTTGTATACTCACCAGCCAGGGTGTTTCGACCCCGCGGTTTTCAAGGCCGGTTTGGGCACCTCCTCTTGCTGCGCAGTTTTGCTCATGTTGAGCAACTGGGCCAGATACTTCCAATCTCCTTTGAAGTTGACCACAAAGCCACGGAGAGTACACACCTAGGGAGTCTTTTCGAAATTCACACCAAATATTTCCCCAGATAGCGAAGCTATAGGGGTTCTTACTTCTCAATGGATGGGTTCCTGATTGCGGAAATTGGCTGCCGCTGCCGCTGCCGCCTTGTTTCCCAAGCTTGTCTCGCGTCATGATTTCGCTCTTGTCTTCCTTCACGATTTCGCTCTTGGCTGCCTCTGCCGGCTTGTCTTCCAAGCTTGTCTCCCTTCATGATTTCGCTCTTGGCTGCCGCTGACGCCTTGTCTCCCAAGCTTGTCTCCCTTCATGATTTCGCTTTTGGCTGCCGCTGCCGGCTTGTCTCCCAAGCTTGTCTCCCTTCATGATTTCGCATTTGGCTGCCGCTGCCGCCTTGTCTCCTAAGCTTGTCTCCCTTCATGATTTCGCTCTTGGCTGCCGCTGCCGCCTTGTCTGATCAGCTTGTCTCCCTTCAAGATCTCGCTTTTGGCTGCCGCTGCTGGCTTGTCTTCCAAGCTTGTCTCCCTTCATGATTTCGCTCTTGGCTGCCGCTGCCGCCTTGTCTCCTAAGCTTGTCTCCCTTCATGGTTTCGCTCTTGGCTGCCGCTGCCGCCTTGTCTGTGAAGCTTGTCTCCCTTCATGATCTCGCTTTTGCCTGCCGTTGCCGCCTTGTTTGTGAAGGTTGTCTCCCTTCATGATTTCGCTTTTGGCTGCCGCTGTCGCCTTGTCTGATCAGCTTGTCTCCCTTCATGATTTCGCTCTTGGCTGCCGCTGCCGGCTTGTCTCCCAAGCAAATCTCCCTTCATGATTTCGCTTCTGGCTGCCGCTGCCGCCTTGTCTGTTCAGCTTGTCTCCCTTCATGATTTCGCTCTTGGCTGCCGCTGCCGCCTTGTCTCGCAAGCTTGTCTCCCTTCATGATTTCGCTTTTGGCTGCCGCTGCCAGCTTGTCTCCCAAGCTTGTCTCCCTTCATGATCTCGCTTTTGCCTGCCGCTGCCGCCTTGTCTGTTCAGCTTGTCTCCCTTCATGACCTCGCTTTTGGCTGCCGCTGCCGCCTTGTTTGTGAAGGTTGTCTCCCTTCATGATTTCGCTTTTGGCTGCCGCTGTCGCCTTGTCTGATCAGCTTGTCTCCCTTCATGATTTCGCTCTTGGCTGCCGCTGCCGCCTTGTCTGATCAGCTTGTCCCCCTTCATGATTTCTCTTTTGGCTGCCGCTGCCGCCTTGTCTGTTCAGCTTGTCTCTGTCATGATTTCGCTTTTGGCTGCCGCTGCCGCCTTGTTTGTGAAGCTTGTCTTCCTTCATGATTTCGCTCTTGGCTGCCGCTGCCGCCTTGTCTCCCAAGCTTGTCTTTCTTCATGATTTCGCTTTTGGCTGCCGCTGCCGCCTTGTCTGTGAAGCTTGGCTCCCTTCATGATTTCGCTCTTGGCTGCCGCTGCCAGCTTGTCTCCCAAACTTGTCTCCCTTCATGATTTCGCTCTTGGCTGCCGGTGCCGCCTTGTCTCCCAAGCTTGTCTCCCTTCATGATTTCGCTTTTGGCTGCCGCTGCCGCCTTGTCTCTCAAGCTTGTCGCCCTTCCTCATTTCGGTCTTGGCTGCCGCTGCCGGCTTGTCTCCCAAGCTTGTCTCCCTTCATGGCCTCGCTTTTGGCTGCCGCTGCCGCCAATGTCTGATCAGCTTGTCTCCCTTCATGATTTCGCTTTTGGCTGCCGCTGCCGCCTTGTCTGTTCAGCTTGTCTCCGTTCATGATTTCGCTCTTGGCTGCCGCTGCCACCTTGTCTCCCAAGCTTGTCTCCCTTCATGATTTCGCTTTTGGCTGCCGCTGCCGTCTTGTCTCCCAAGCTTGTCTCCCTTCATGATTTCGCTCTTGGCTGCCGCTGCCGGTTGTCTCCCAAGCTTGTCCCCCTTCATGGTTTCCCTCTTGGCTGCCGCTGCCGCCTTGTCTGTGAAGCTTGTCTCCCTTCATGATTTCGCTTTTGGCTGCCGCTGCCGCCTTGTCTCCCAAGCTTGTCTCCCTTCATGATTTTGCTTTTGGCTGCCGCTGCCAGCTTGTCTCCCAAGCTTGTCTCCCTTCATGATCTCGCTTTTCCCTGCCGCTGCCGCCTTGTCTGTTCAGCTTGTCTCCGTTCATGATTTCGCTCTTGGCTGCCGCTGCCACCTTGTCTCCCAAGCTTGTCTCCCTTCATGATCTCGCTTCTGGCTGCCGCTGCCGCCTTGTTTGTGAAGCTTGTCTCCCTTCATGATTTCGCTCTTGGCTGCCGCTGCCGCCTTGTCTGATCAGCTTGTCTCCCTTCATGATTTCGCTCTTGGCTGCCGCTGCCGCCTTGTCTGTTCAGCTTGTCTCCCTTCATGATGCTGCCGCTGCCGCCTTGTCTGTTCAGCTTGTCTCCCTTCATGATTTCGCTCTTGGCTGCTGCTGCCGCCTTGTCTGCTCAGCTTGTCTCCCTTCATGATCTTGCTCTTGGCTGCCTCTGCCGGCTTGTCTTCCAAGCTTGTCTCCCTTCATGATTTCGCTCTTGGCTGCCGCTGCCGCCTTGTCTCGCGAGCTCGTCTCCCTTCATGATTCCCCTCTTGGCTGCCGCTGCCGCCTTGTCTCCCAAGCTTCTGTTTTCATGATTTCGCTTTTGGCTGCCGCTGCCGCCCTGCCTCCCAAGCTTGTCTCCCTTCAATGGTTTCGCTCTTGGCTGCCGCTGCCGCCTTGTCTCCCAAGCTTGTCTTCCTTCATGGTTTCGCTTTTGGCTGCCACTGCCGCCTTGTCTCCCAAGCTTGTCTCC